GCGCGGCGCGGTCGCGATTGCAGTGGCCGTCTCACTACTGCGTAGATTTGGCATGGGCTTGCCCGGCATCGCGTTCTGCGTTAGTTGCGTGCGTGGTGAGCTCTCATGCTGGGGTTGCTGGTGGTGTGAGCACTATCAGTTCCTTTGGCAGCTGTGTAGACTGGTGTTCCGCCGATTGGCTGCGTGGGTTGTCAGCTGCGTTTGCCGGGCTGGTCAGCGCGCTGTTGGCGGTCCGCGATGGTGGTAGAGTGGGCGCGAGCGGTTCGAGCATGGGCTGCGCTGGCGGTGGCGGTGGTTTGATTGGTATTTGCTGGGTCCTTTGCGCTGTGCTGCTCATGATTTCTCCGTCGCTGGAGCTGTCGCTGTCGCCTGGCTTGCTGGCGGGGCGCGGCATTGAATCGAGAGCGCTGAATCGCGAGCTGTCGCGGCATTGTGCCGCAAGTGCTTGCGCATCGTTGCCGCGTCGTGAGAATTTCGGCTGCCTGGGCCGTCTCCGCAGCGGTTGGCGCGGGTCTTCTTTGACGGCGCTTTTGAGCGCGATCAGTTGCGCGCATGTCGTAGCGGGAAATGCGCAGGCTTAGCGGCGTGAGCCGCAGCGGTGGATGCGGTAGGTACTGCTCGGCGTCGCGGTGTGCAAAGACCTCCTTGTTGCATGTGTTAAGATACCTGTGACGTCCAGGTAGCTTCGTGGTGGTATATTGCACGGTGCCAACGGTCTCCTCCTTGGATGTCCTCATCTGCGTCGTCGGCGTAGTGGCGGTAGGCGGTCCAACCACTGGGTAGGTGCATGCCGCGGTATCTGTCGAATGCGAAGAGTGACCGGCAATCATCGTGGAAGTCGGATGCTCCGCTCATCTTGGCCCATGGGTCGTCTCTGTCGCTGTTGCTGTCCTCTGATGCTGGACTGCCGTAATCTTCGCATTGGTCGCTCTGCCATTGGGCCGCCGGTGCGTCGTCGTTGTTCTGCGTCGGTGGCATCGGCGCCCGCGGTGGCTCGGGTGGGATGGATTCGCGGCTGTCTTCGCATCGTTCCTTGCCGTGCTGCGCCTTTTCTTGTTAAGCGTCAGGTCGGGTATAAGTTGCTCCGGTGGTATCATTCCCATCTGACTTTTGCACGCGCATCGCAAATATTCAAGTTGGTCGTAGAAGTCCTTCTCGGTGTCGTACCATTCTGCAAAATGTGGTTGTACAAATGCGCACCTAGGTCGGTGCGGACTCGGAAACCACTTTTTGTCGGCATGACCATCGGCGGGCCCCATCTGAATTGTGGTCCATGGGGGCGCGGTTGGACATCGGATGGCCCGGCCTGAATGCGGTGCGGGTTGCAGTCGTCGTAGATGACGCATGTCCTTGGGAAGAGCTCTGTGATGGGCGTTGACCCGAGGCTTCTAAGGATTTGCGGTCACTTGGGTTTGTGCCTGGTTGCTGATTTGAGCTCGCAGTGCGTTGGCGGCGTTGGGCCTGTATGGCAATTTGGTTGGAAGCGCGCTGTGCCCTCGCATTGGTTGAGAGTGGCCCGCATTCAAGGTTCGTGGGGTCTCCAAATTCAGCGTGTTTGGCCTGCTGGTATGCGATTGGTGGAGCGATGTGGCGTCGGCTCATTTCTGGTGTGCACGTGGCCCATGGTGGGTGGAAGGTCGAAGCGCCTGGTGCGTGTCGTGCGTCTGCTCAGTAATTGGTGAATGAAGGCAGCTCAGACCCTGAGGCAAATTTGTTGCGTGACTCTGACATTGCACATGTAACGGCACGTCCTTCGAAATTCGTTAAGTCGTACTTGAACTTCGCGTGGGTGGCGTGGTCCTGGTCCACCTGGAACTCGTACCTCAAGGTGTTCCGCTGGTAGCATATTTTGTATCGTGTATATTTGGAGATATTTCCAGTGCCGTCCCCATTGTAGTGGGAGTAGTTTAGTCGTACCTTGTTGTGGTCGATGTCGTTGCTGAACTGTTCCCATGTGCTGTGTATGAATAGTGTTCGGCGCATACTGGCGGCTCCTCACCATCGATAGGCGGCTGGCGGCCGGGTCTGTAATCGATTTTCCAGCAATCTGGAATTTCATTCGGCCGCGGTGACCAGTGCAGCTCGACTTCATTAGGGCGACGAAGTCTATACATATCCACTGCTCCCTGGCCAGGCCCATCGTGAGCCCGGCAGCGGTGTATACGCGAGGCCCTCCTGGCTTGGCCAGGAGGGCGTATACACAGCTCCTGGGTTCAGGATGGGCATGTCCAGGGAGCAGTGAATATGTATAGATCTCGTCGCCCGATGCATGGCGTGGGCATGGGTACTGCCAGCCAGCGAGTCCTGATGTGAACCACTCGTGTAGTAAGTTGAACTTGTTATTGCTAATGCCGGGTAGGTATGCAATCGCGCAGCGCCCTCCCACCGTCGTTGTCCAGGGCGCCCAGCGGCTGCCGCGATGCCGGCGTCGCCATTGCCCGCTGCAGCTGCGGGCCGCCACGCGCCGGGCATGCAGCAGGGGAAGTGCGAGCGCAACCAGCAAATTCCACTGTGACCAGCACGACAAGAAGCACACCAGCACCACTCGCAACAGTGCCAGCACCACCAGCAGTGCCTCTGTCAGTAGTCCGAGAAATACGAGCAACATCACCAGCGCGACCAGCCCGACAGGAACCAGCAGCACCACCAGCAGCAGCGCGAGTGCCACCAGCAGCACTGCAATAATACAGCCAACCCTAGCGCCGCTGGTGGCACCTCTGTGACCGTCACGACAACAAGCGGCACCACCACGCACAGGAACACTAACGCCATACGATCTAGCGTTGTGGCAGACACGGCGGGCAACAGCAGCGCCACGCGCAGGCCCGCTAGCGCCACCAGCACCACCAGCGCGACCAACACGACAGGAAACAGCAAAACCACGCGCCCCAACACGAGCGCAACCAGCAGCAACAGTGTGACCAGCACAACGGTAACCAGCAGCACAAGCGTGACAAGCAGTACCACTGTGACCAGCACGACAGGCACCAGCTGCACCAAACGCAGCAGCACGAACGCCAGCAGCAGCGCCAAGGTGACCAGCAAGACGGGAAACAGCAGCACTACGCGCAGCACTACAATCGCCACAAGCAGCACCAATGTGACCAGCACGGCGGGAAACAGCAACACGACCTTCACCAGCCCAAGAGCAACGAACAAAACCAGACGAGCATCGCCCGAGACAGCAGCCTTCCGCGAAGCAGCAACACCAGTGTGACCCGCACGAAGGGAAGACGCAGCACAACAAGTAGCACTACGGGCGCCATCGGCGGCACCACTGCGACCAGCCAGACGGAAAACAACAGTACTACGCGAACCAGCACAAGTGCAGCGAGGAGTACCACTGTGAGGAGCATCGCTGGAAGCAGCACCACTGTGACCAGCACGACAAAAATCAGCAGCACTACTAGCGGCACCAGCAGCGCCAATGTGACCAGCAAAACGATAACCAGTAGCACAACGCGAAACAATACAAGCGGAACCTTGGCACCAAACTGGCCTTGGACGGGGTCGTGGTCCGGAAGCTTGCGCAGCCCACAAGCTTGCGAGGCTGCTTCTTCCCCTGCGACGCAGATGGCGTTCGCAGTCAAGATGTGACAAGCGCCCCAGCGATGGTACAGCCTACAATCAAGGCGAGAAGGGCATTCATAATCAAGGGCGCGACCGGCACCGAAGCGGCAGCACAACATTCGCCATCATATTTCTGGCCGGCGCCAGGCGAGGGCAGCGTTCCGAATCGAGAGCGCAGCCCGCGCCGAGGCGAGAACAACAGTCGCAATCATGCGCGCGGCCGTCGCCCACGACCTGGGCAAAAGTAGCATTGCGTGTCGAGAGTGCGGCGCCCGTGGGGGCGAGAACAATGATCGCAATCATGCGTGCGGCCAGCGCCTGGGCGAAAGCAGCAGTTTCACTCAGATGTGGCCAATGCCGCAGCGGGAACGACATGCCCACTGAAAGTTGTGGCCCGCGCGTGGGCGACATCCACATGGTTCATCAGACATGTGGCCGGCGCCACAGCGAGAACGACATGCTCAATGAAAGATGTGGCTGGCGCCTGGGCGACAGCAGCATTTTCCATCAGACATGTGAGAGGCGCCACAGCGAGAAAGACATGCTCAATAAAGGATGTCGTAGGCGCCTTGGCGACAGCCACATTTTCAATCCAAGATCTGGCCAGCGCCAAGGCGAGAACGACATGCTCAATGAAGGATGTTGCCAGCGCCTACGCGACAGCAGCATTTTCAATTAGACATGTGGTTGGCGCCAAGGCGAGAACGACATTCTCAATGAAGGACGTCGCTGGCGCCTAAGCGGCAGCCACATTTTCAGTCAGAGATGTGGCCCACGCACAGGCGAGAACAACATGCTCAATGTAGGATGTCGCCGGCGCCGAGGCGGCAGCAACATTTTTAATCAAAGATACGTCGCCGGCGCTTGGGCGACAGCAGCACTTTCCATCAGACATGTGGCCCACGCACAGGCGAGAACGACATGCTCAATGAAGGCAGTCGCCGCCACCTAGGCGAGAGCAACATTTTCAATCAGAGATGGGGCCCACGCTCAGACGAGAACATCACGTTCAATGAAGGATGTCGCCGGCGCCTAGGCGAGAGCAACACTTTCAATCCGAGATGCGGCCCACGCACAAGTCAGAGCATCATTCCGAGACAAGCCTGTCGCCAGAATGCAGGTGTCGCACCCATTCCGCGCGGGCCAGGCTCGGTGTCACCGAAGTCCAGGCTACGTTAGGTGGGTAGCGGGGGGTGGTTGTATCTCCTCCTCGCTGCCCCCTCGTTCACATCTCTTCCTCCACCTACCAACTCCTCCTCGTCCTCCACATTCCTCCTGGGCCTGCCCAACAGACGTATGCGATTCGGCACACGAGAGCGAATTGGGAACATGAAAGCAGGGGGCGCAATTCGGCATAAGGGTAACACGGGAGCACGACGAGGCCGGGGAGGAACAAGAGGAAGCTCGAGATGCGAGGGGTGGGCGCGGACCATCAGCAAAATAAAGATCAACGTGCTTGATCCCGTTGTCGATGAACCGCTGCTTATCGTACATCTTCCTGCGCGGAGTGGGGAGCACGCATGGCCCTTGGCCAGGATGTGTGCTACATCTCTGCACGCTCACTGCACAACAAGCAGCGAAGACCAGGGCGAACCCAAAGGAACCCTGGCCAGCGATGGTCTCTCCCCCGTCGACGTGGGAGCGACTTCACGCAAGCAGCCCCGCAGCTCAACAATAGAGGCCTCCTAGATGGGGTCGGAGTAGATGGGGTCGGAGGACCGCGCCGCATCGCCGATACATCGGCGATACATCGGCGATGCATCGGCGATGCATCGGCGATGCACAGGCGATGAGGCGTCGACGTCGGCGATGCATCAACGACGTCGGCGCGGGGAAAATCGGGCCCCGCATCGAGCCGCATCGTCGATGCAGCGGCGATGCGGCGCGATCCTCCGACCCCGTCTACTCCAGATTTCGTAATAAGGGAGGGGGGTCTCATTTCGGGGGGGGGTCTCTTCCAGGCCATCTTGGAGGGCTTGGGGGGGTCTGGGGACGATGTTTTGGAGGGTTCTCCCACGGGGGAGGTCTGAAATGGTCTGTCTTGGAGGGTCCAGACCCCCTCCCTTTCATTACGAAATCTGGAGTACTCGGGCCCCATCTCGGAGGCCTAGAAACAGGAGGAACGGCGGGGAGGTCGACGAGCGTCGGAGCTTGCCGAGGGTGCCCCCCCCGGCACGGGGCGCGCCCCCAGTCTCTTCTCGGCCAGCTCCGGAGCGCGCCCGAGGCCCTCTCTTGGCCAAGGCCGGGGCGCGCGGGCGGCCGTGGGAGCCTCCCTGGAAGTCCTGGGGGGCACCTACACTGGGTGCGGTCTGCGAAGGGTGCGGTTTGCCTCCCGTCTTATCTAGGGGCAAACAAACCTGCCTCGCTTTTGACCACCCTCGCTTCCAAGAGATACCAAGCGATGCCAAACTACGGCCTGTACTGGTCAGGCCGCTTGAAGAGGAGGCGCGTGGTATGACTTGGTTTTGCCTGGAAGCGAAAGCGGGGTAGGTAATTCACGCTCCGATTATCTGCCCCTCCCGCCCCTGGGAGACGGCTGACACTGTCCCTCAATGCGACGGGATCACACGACACTGTCGCTCCTTCTAGTGCAGCGGAGCACACATCGAGGATGACAGTGCCGCTCGAAGCGGCGACAATTATGGCATTGTCTCGCACGAAGGACCTGGAAAGGCCGTCACAAAGCAACTCGCAAACCGCACCGCGGCGTAACCGCACCGATTGTAGTCGCCGAATCCTGGGGGCACCTTGGGTCAGGGGCACGTCTAGCAACACCCGACATCGGGTTCGGAATCGGCACGTCGAGATGGGAGCGTGCTGGTTTGGTCGTCGACGGCTCAGGCAGCAGAGGGAAGGGTCCTGCACGGCACTGTCCGGGGCAATGCCAGCCATAGCAGTAGGGGAACAAAAAGTGGCAGAAACATGAAAACTCGGAGGTCCGCGCGGATTTCTCGGATCGGCGCTGGACCCCCCTCCCTGGCGCGCGGAGCGCGCCAGGGGCGGCGCCGGAGGCGCCGCCGGGGGGTCCCCAGCGCCGATCCGAGAAGTCCGCGCGGACCTCCGAGTCTTTATGTTTATGTCACTGTTATGCTTATGCCACTTTCATGTTTATGCTTGCGTTACTTGATGCCACTTTTTATGTATGTTTATGTTCTTATGTTTATGTCGTTGCCCGCCCCTCCCTGCTGCAGCAGGGAGGGGCGTGGAACGATGCCGGTCTGCCCTCCTCGCGGCCTTCACGGGCGCCTCCGCGAGGGGGGGAGAGGCCTGGAGGGCCCAGAGCTCCGACGTCCTCTGAAGGGGCCCCAGGACACACAAATGAATACACACAAATGAAATGACACCGGAGAAAAAACCCAATCAGGGCTAGGGGGCCCTAGGGGGCTATAGGGCTATAGGGCTATCGAGCTATAGGGCTATAGACCTATAGGCCTTGTAGGGCTATAGGGCTATAGGGCTATCGAGCTATAGGGCACCCCCGGGCACGCCCAAACAACCGGGCACCCCGGCACCCGGGCACCCCCGGGCACCCCCCGGGCACCCCCCGGGCACCCGAGCACCCGGGCACCCGGGCACCCCCGGGCACCCGGGCACCCGGGCGTGCCGCGAAAATCGGCGGTAAACCTAACCTAACCATATGAATTCGCTAGGACCCCTACAGAGGCAAGCTCTGATTGGGGAAAAGCTCCCCATATTTTCCTATATTTTCTGGGTTTCTGTCTTCCCCCCCACTTCCCATATTTTCCCATATTGTCCGTGGAATCGAAGATTGCTTTGTGTCTGTGTGATTCTTTTCCTCCTGACTCACGCGTTCCACACGGGGTCCCCGGAAGTCTCGGTCCACTCCCAGGGACTGGCTTTTCATCACAAGGCGTCTTTTTTACGGCCCCGGTGCCTGGTGAGGGCCCCCAGGAGCCTAACACGGCGAACACACCTCCGACGTGATTATTTCAGTGCGCTGGATCTCCTGGGGCGTATCGCTTTGCGCGCGCGGGTATGGAAATTGCTCAGCTTGGTTGGAACTGCTGGGGGTCCCACGAGCCCCGCTGGCGCCGCACGTTGCGCCACCAGGGGCGGGGGGATGGGCCTGGTGACGGCCGTCCACCGCGGAAAGGGGGCGGAGGGCCATACGTAGAGACCTTCTGGATGGGATCCGAGTAGTGGGGGCCGGAGGATCGCGCCGCATCGCCGACACATCGGCCATGCATCGGCGATGCATCGGCGATGCATTGGCGACGTCGACGTGAAGCAACTCGGGCCCCACATCGCCGATGCAGCGCCGATGCATCAGCAATGCGACACGACCTTCCGGCCCCATCCGGGAGGCCTGGGCCCGCCCCGCGCCGGAATTCCGCTAGCTCATCGATACCGGAGGGCTCTACGAGGCTTTCCTCTAGCTCGTCGATAACGAAGAGCTCCACGAGGTACCAGCTGCATCCCGCGCCGGAATTCCCTAGCTCATCGTTGCCGAAGCGCTCTACACCCTGCGAAATGCTTGAAAAATCATGGATTAAGAAATTCATAGTCTCAGAAATTGAACAAAACCCAGAACTTATATCAACATCTTGGGATTTACATTGCAAAATTGAGAATTCGCCGGCCCAACAGGCCAGGGCGTGCTAAGATCTCCGGTACCTGGTTAACAGTATTTCTAGTTCGCGCGCGCGGGGCGGCCCCTGGGGGTCCCCGGACGAAAAGTACCCCGGCAAGGTCCCGGCAAGTCCCCGCAAGGTCGGGTCAGAGATGCCGGAGTTCTGTTACAGGGCCCCAGGACGGGCCAAGAGGTCCCCAAGAAGCCTCCAAGACGGTCCAAGAGGGCCCCGAGACGGCCAAAGATCGCCCGAAGACGCCCAACAGGGCCCCAAGACAGCCCAAGAGGCCTCCAAGACGCCCCAAGGGCCTTCCAAGAGGCCTCCGAAGAGGGCCCCAAGAGGCCAAAATCGTTGATTTTCATTGTTTTTTTCTATGTTTTTTGCGTTCTGGCTTTTTCGGCTTCCGGACGCTCCAAGACGGCCCAAGAGGCCCCCAAGACCGCTCCAAGACGGCCCACGAGGCTCCCAAGACGGCCCCGGAACGGCCCAGGAGGGCCCCCAAGACGGCCCAAGTGCCGCCCAAGACGGACCAAGAGGCCCCAAGACGGGCCCAAGAGGGGCTCAAGAAGGGAACCGAGAACTGAAAAATCGAGCCCTCCGCCCCAGAAGGCGCCCAGGAGGCCCCAAAAAGGCCCCAAGAGGCCCCCAAGAGGCCCCCAAGACGCCCCACGAGGCGCCCAAGAGGCCCAAAAGAGGCCCCAAGAGGCCCCAAAACGGCCCCCAAGAGGCCCCAAAACTCGGCTAGCCCACAACGGTGCGACAATATGGGCCGGCGGAATGAGCGAAGCGATTAAATAATCGAGACTCTGGGCAAAAACCTAGGTTTTCTTAAGCGTCGCCTAGGGTGTACGAGGAATATTCTTCTAGCGAGCCCGAGGCCCGAGCGGCCCGAGCGGCCCGAGAGGCCCGAGAGGCCCGAGAGGCCCGAGCGGCCCGCGGCGCCCGAGGCCGAGGCCCGCGCCGCCCCGCGCCGCCCGAGAGGCCGCGCGGGGGGAGGAGGGCGGGCGGCCGGGCGAGGAGCGTGGGCGCAGAGGCGCGGGGGGGGGGGAAGGGAGGGGGAGGGGAGGGGGGGGGGAGGGAGGGGGGGGAGAGGGGGGGGGAAGGGAGGGGGGAGAGGAGGGGGAAGGGGGAGGGGAGGGGGGAAGGGAGAGGCAAAGGGGGGGGGGAGGGGGGGGGAGAGAGAGAGGGCAGGGAGCCGGGGTCGCCCGCGCAGGCAAGGAGCCAGGGTCGCCCGCGCGGGCACGCCACGCCCCACTGCGTGGGCGGCGGTGGCTCCGGCGGCCCAAGTGGCACCGGGCGTACCGAGGTAGCGAAAACCGAGGCTCCGAGTCTTTGCCTCATCCCTTCAACACTCGGGGGGGAGGGCCCCGCGGCCGATGCCCGCAGATGGGCGCGGCCCACGGGCTCGTTTGAGCAGGGACCGACCGTTCCAGCTTCTCGAAAGGCCTGCCACGACATGGCTTCTCGAAAGGCCTGCCACGACATGTTTAGACCCCCCCCATGTTCGAAAAACAAAAACAATATTCGTAGAGCGGAAGGCCAATGTGCGAAAACAAGACGGTCTCGGCCAGAAGTGTTCTAAGAACATGTCCTGCATACCACAGAAGGTTCTTAGAACATTCTTCGGTGGGCCTATAGGCAAGCCAGGACGCTTCGCGGCCTCGCGCCCAGGGGGGCATGGGGCCCTTCTCAGAACGCGGCGGGGCTTCTCAGGAGCCCTGCGGCCTTGCTTGTGAGAAGCTCTGCGTGCCTTCTGGGCAGGCTCCGAGCACTTCTCGGGGGGCCCGAGGCCTTCCTCGCCTTCTGACGAGGGCCCGGCCGCCGCGGCGTGGGCTGTGTGCCTTCTCATCCCTCGTCGTCGTCGTCGTCGTCGGTCGGCCCCGAGGTCGTCGTGGATCGTCGTCGCTGTCGATCGTGGGGCGCCCGCGCCGCAAGCGCAGGGCCTGCGCCGCCCCGGCGGACGGCCGTCGACGCAGAAACTCTCGACGTCGCGGGGGAGCGACGCACACCAGGCATAAAGATGTTGGGGTGACGCCGGTCCTGCTCGGTCCGGTCCTCACTCCGCCCTCCCCGCCCTCCCCGCCCGCCCCACCAGGAGCGCCGGAGAGGGCGATTTCGGGACTGCAGGTCCCCTCAAGCAGGTACGAGGCCCGGGCACAAGGTGTGGCACGCAGCGGAGCATCGAGGGGCAAAGATCTGCACGAAAGTACACTGGCGGAGGCCCGCAAGGATTTCTTGGACTGGCGCTGGGCCCCCCCCCCCTGGCGCGCTCTGCGCGCCAGAAGCGGCGCCGGAGGCGCCACCAGGGGGGCCATCGTCGATCCAAGAAAGTCGCGCGGACCTCCGAAATTCAGCGCTTACGAGAACCTGACGGGGCAGCGTAGGATATTCGGCGACGGGTGCCAAGACAGCCAGGAATAGTGCAAAGAACACAACCTCTGAATAAGCACCCCGACAAGCGAAGCTGTTTAGTAAACGCACCCAGGGAAGGAATCGAACAGGACAGGGCTGTTTAGAAAAAGCACAAACTATTGGGGTCGGGGTGGTTTTCCCCCCTGCACTGGGCGCCAGGGTGTGCGAGACGGTCAGGCGTCGGTCAAATCGAGCGGAAGCGAGCGGTGAGGCGCGAGGCGGGAAAGCAAGAGGCGAGACAAAAAAACAAATACGGAACCCGATCAGGCCGTGTAGGTCTGGGAGGACCATGTGGGAACTGCTCTAAAGCAAGAACACACCGTAGACGGATCTACCCTTTCTCCGACCTTGAACTGCGCCGAACGCAAAGGCCGCGATGTCCATAGACATGTCCACCCCGAATGCGCCTACAGACGTCACGACACCCACTGTTTCCGTGGACGCCTTTGGCCAGAACGTGAGACTGGCTTGCGGCACCGGCCCCACGGATTCGTCGTCGGGGCGCAGGTCGACTGGGCCCACCAATGCTCGGGAGCGGCCAAGAGGGGGGTGTCCAAGAGGGGGGGGGTGCAAATCATGACTGGCGGCATGTGCGCGGCCCGGCGGGGGGGCCAGGGACGTAATGAAATGAGAAGAGGCGCCATGAAATCTGGGGAAACATCATGGCCCGCGCCATGATATCCACCCCCCCTGGTCATCACCCCCCTCTTTGCCGCTCCCGACCCATGCAGGTCGCACCAGGAAGCCACACGCTGCGCATGACGGCAAGCCCCGTCCGACGGAGCGAGGGTGGGCCGAGGCGGGGCGGCAGTGTGGGCGCAGGGCGGCCCCCCGAGAGGCACGCGCGCGGCCGAAGGGGGGGGGGAGGCACGGGACGCTGGCGCGGCGGGGCGGAAAGAAAGGGGGGGGGCATGGCGTCGGGGGAGGCCAAGCGTGGCGGGAGGAGCAGGAGGAGGAGAGGAGGAGGAGGAGGAGGAGGAGGAGGAGGAGGAGGAGGAAGGTAACGATGACGATGACGATCGAGGAGACAAGGAGCGAAACGACGACGCGCGGCGGCGACGGCGACGGTGACGCGACGGCGGCGACGGCGCCTGCAGCGGCGGCGGCGGGGTGGGGAGACGTGGCGTCGGGAGGCGTCATGGTCCCTGCCACGAGAACTACCCGCTCCTATTAGACCTCCCCCACCCCTTCGGCGTTCTCGACCAGGGCCGAACCTAAACGGTGTTTTTCGTTTTCGCTTTGTTTTCGTCTTCCCTCGTGCTGTCTTCAGTCCGCCTTTAGCGCAAAACGAAATCGAAACGAAAACGGCCCACACCGCCAAAACACCGTTTAGGTCCAGCCCTGTTTTCGACCCTCCTCCCCCGCCCTCTGGGCGACTGCCGTGACAAGCAGCACCATCCTGGGTCTCCCCAGCGGCGGGAGCAGGGGAGGCTGCCTGGATGGGCTGTGGGCGAGATGAGCACACCCGAAGGAGCCCTGGGACACACACATAAATAGACACAAATACCAGGATTCCCCAGATTTTCCAATCTCTTCTGGGTTGTTGGTTCCCGCCCCCCCACACTTCTCATGTCTTCCCATATGTTCCCGGGAGTCGACGATGAACTGTGTCTGTGTGAGATCCCCTCCTCAATGCCGAACGACGAGGGGACAAGACTGGCATGCAAACAGCAGCACGGCCTCGAAGCAATGCCATACCGCAGAAGCAGCACATGTGGAACAGGAACATAATGTGAAACAACACCTGAACCGCACGACTTCGCGCCCCACGCCCCGCGATACAGTGAAGACCAGTCCACAAAAAACCTCCCACAATGGACCCAACCCTGAGACCCCAGGACGTCCATTGATTCTTGCTGTGGGAACGTCACGCTTCCCGTAGCAGAGCCCCCGAAACCCAACCCGGGGCACCCTGGAGGCAGGCAG